TTATAATATATCTTTGTTTCTTTCTTTTATTTATTTATTTTTATTTATTTTTTCTCTTCTTATAGCGACGCTCTCTTTCTTTGTAGGTTTCTCCATCCCTCAAGTGCTGCGCACTACACCTGCTGCTGCTGCTGCTGCTGCAGCTGCTGCAGCTGCTGCTGCTGCTGCTGCTTTGGTTTGTCTCTCTGTTTCTCTGTTTCTCTTTTCTCCTGCTGCAGCAGTTGCTGCTGTGCATATGCTGGGGTGTATAGGCAGCTGAGCCCTTTGTGTCGCCGCTGGGTGTATGTGTATTATACAAATTCTTTTTATTTATTTATTTTTTTTTGTTTTTATTTTATATCTCAGGGTGTACATGTGCTTGCTGCTTGTTTACTTTATGTCTGCGCCTCTCTGCTGCTGCTGCTGCTGCTGCTGTTGCTGTTGCTGTTGCTGCTGTTGCTGCTAGCGTATATTCATATATACAAATATTTATACACAAACACATATATATATAAACATATATATATATATATATATATATATATATACATATATATATATATACATATGTATATTATTAAACAAACAGACAAATAAATAAATAAACACTCAAACAACTAAACAAAAACCAAAAAAAAAAGAAAAAGATATGTGTGTGTGTATGCAGCATCTCTCCCTTACGATGCAGCGTGGCGTGGGTCGCAGTTCTGCTGCTGCTTCCTCCTCCTCCGCAGCAGCAAGCGCAGCAGCAGCAGCAGGAGGAGGAGGAGGATCTCGCCGTTACCGTATAGAACGCCCAGGCCTAACCTCTGACGAAATAGAGGAGATGAGAGAAGCGTTTTCTTTGTTTGATACTGAAGGGACAGGAACGATAGACCCAAAAGAACTAAAAGCAGCAATGGTTTCTTTAGGGTTTGACGCTAAAAACCCTTCTGTATTTCAACTTATAAATGAATTAGATAAAGATGCAGCAGGACCTGTTGACTTTGAAGAATTTCTTGATGCTATTACTGCTAAACTTGTAAACCCTAAACCCTCATAAACCCTCATAAACACTACACACTTGTGCGGGAAGATGATAGGGAGAAAGAGCGAGAGATGGGGAGGGTTTTGGGGGGTTTTGAGCGGGGGGGGGAGGGTGGGTATTTATTTATTTGTTTATAGAGTTAATAATTTATAAAATAAATAAAACAAATAAAATAAATAAAACGTATAAAACAAATAAAACAAATAAAACAAACAAAACAAATAAACTAAACAAACAAAATAAATAAAATAAAAAATATATATTTGTTTGTGTGTATAGGGTGACAAGGAGAGCCGCGAAGGAATTCAGAAGATATTTAATTTATTTGATGAAGAAAAAAAAGGAAGTATAACATTAAAAAATTTAAAAAAAATTTCAAAAGAATTGGGGGAAAATATAAGCGAAGAGGAGTTAAGAGAAATGTTAGAAAGAGCTGATTCAAATGGAGATGGAGAAATTTCTTTCGAAGATTTCTATGCTATCATGACCAAAAAAACCTTTCCTTAAACCCTATATTAGGGTTTAGGGTTTAGGGTTTGAGGGTTTAGGGTTTAGGGTTTAGGGTTTGGGGGGAGGACGGGTTGGGGGGAGGGAGGGAAGAGGAGGAAAAGGAGGGGTCATACTCTATGTATATTCTTTATATTTATTTATATATTTATTTATATATTTATTTATATGTTTATATATATATATATATATATATATATATATATA